CTCAATATCAGCGCATCCCCCGTCGAAGACTCCATGCACACTGGCCTCAATGGCTGATGCATCCCCAGATCCACTCTACGACGCACGCCGTCTGGGCCCACCTCCCACAGGAGATTGTCGTCAAACGGGATACCAGCGTCGATGAGTATGTTGTGGAGGATGCAGACAGCGACGAATTGTTGCGGCAAGCTATCCATGTTGCACTTGTGGGTGCGGAGGAACAACCTCCACATCCCCTCCAGTCTGCGAAACGCCCTTTCCACTGTTCCCCTGGCCGTCGTCTGTTTGTTGTCGAAGCGTGCCTCCGTCGGGTGTTGCGCGAGACCGCCGTAAGGGACGACTATCCATTCCAACTGCGGATAACCGTTGTCGCCGAGCAAGTAGCCATTAGTCCGCACACCGAAAGGCAGCATCACATGCGGCCCAGTGAAAAGTTGTCCTGACTCCGCGCGCACTGACAAACTCGACAGGTTCAGCATCCTCATGTCATGCACACTCCCCGGATAACCGACGAAGACGTCCAGCACACACAAGTTCATGTCGGCCACTACTTGTGCCTGCACGGAGAATCGACGTCTCTTGTCGCAGTAGTCCTCACCGTTGGCGTTCGCGGGTTTGTCGATGTAGATATGTGTGCAGTCGATGCACCCATGGCAGTTTGGAAACCCCTTGTCAGCGAAGGCGCGCAACACGACCGCCTTATGCAAACCTGTGGGCCATGATATCTTGTCGGGGTAAGCAGTCAACAACGCCGCCGTGACGTCACGCACCGCCGTGATGCCGGAAGCCCTCCCGATGCCGAAGCTACATGTCCCGTTGTCGTATGTCTCCCCCGTGGCCCACCTGTACAGTGCATAGGCAATGATGTGGTCTGGCTGCAAAGGCACCCTGTAGAACGTCACACGGCGTTGAAGGAGTTGGGAAAGAGTCTCCGCGATCTTGCGGAAAACACGAGGCGACATTCGAAGCTTCTCCTTGAAGTAATCATCCGTTGCGTCATCACATTGCCGCAGATCCTCCCACGTGCCGCCCGTTCGCCGCTTCACCCACCACCGTGGAGTCGCCCTTGGAAACCCCCTGCACCCCATCGCGTAGCAGACCTCCAGCACCGCGTCGGAAATGGCAGCCACATCCAAGCACTGCCAGTCGTCGGAAGCGCCAACAGCTTGCGCCGTGCACGAACAGCCGCTTTGAAGTTCGCGTCATTGTTCGCCATCTGGCAGCGGAAGAGGACGGCATTAACCACCGCAGCAATAACCGTCCTCTCCGCCGTCGCCAAACCGCCGCGCCCTGCCCCGCCGTCAACGTCCATCGCAGACGCCGCTTCCGATGACATGACGTCAATCAAACCACTGGACTCCACAAACACCGCCACACGGAAGATCACAGTGTTGGTGGCTGTGCAATATCTTGGGAGCCATGCACTGACGATGGTCGTCTACCTTTCCCAACGCTCACGTATCGATGTCGTCTCCCCTTGCCGCCAACCCGTACACGACCGTGCTCATCGACGACAACCGCAGGGGATAATCGTCACTTATGTGAACGCCACGAACGTTAGCCGCAGACGCAACCAGGCGTGAAACGTACGTCCTCCACGCGCCGCCGATCGCAAAGCCTGATTTCAAATTTCAAATTTTGAACAGGAGCGCTGCGCGCCATTTCCAAGGGCCCCGACTTTGTTTTTTTTTTCGTTTCCCGCCCTCATTCGAATTCGCGACGACCAACAAAGGTGGACCACCGCCGTCCGCACGGACACAACTCGGTGGACCACCGTCAGCCCCACCCCCGGGTCCGCTTGTGCATATATAAATCGGGGCCGCGGGAGCGCCGATGAATCGTCCTCGGGGGTCGACTCCGAGGATGAGTGGAACGAAGGCGACAATTTCCTCGGGCGACCTCGAGGAATCGTCCTCGGGGCCCGAGGACGCCCCGAGGAGTGTCGAACGAGCCCCTTTTGATGTAAAGGGAAACTGTCTCCGCAGGAGCAGTGGCTGAGGCTCTTCCAGCCCTAATGGGAAGAGGCGTGTGTTTGCGTTGTATTCAACTTCATAAGCTGAGCCTTGGGCATTGGGCCCTTTTTTCAAAAAAAAAAAAAAAAAAAAAAGTATTACGGGGAACCCTGTAGCAGCCACATCCGTGCTCAAGCCTCCAACGAGGAACATGCGGAAGCTGCACCTACCAGAAGGTGGGCGATACTGGCCAGGGTTCAGCCAGCAGCATCAGGACCGAGCTTCTTCGATGGACCAGTCACTGTGCCTTCCCCCCGGTCCCCTCCCCCTACGAAAATCAGCAGTCTCTGCTCAATGCCGCTCGGGGAACCAACGGCCTATCTCTAGGTGGTGGGGACCAAGCTTGCCCAGGAAAGTACATGAGGCCAATGGGGGGGGCAAAGGCTCCTGGGTCACATGTAGTGTTTGGAATAGGCAGCTTTAACAGTTCTCGAAACGGGGCAATTTCAACCCGCCGCTAAATCTGTATTCGCGCCACTCCAAGAAAACTGCCGAAATTTCAACCCCCCCGCACATTTTGAATCTCAAACAATGATATCGGGTGGCCGTGGGGGCGCAGCGCGACCGGGAGCGTTGCGCCCCCACTGGAGCACCGTTGGAGCGAACGCGGCGTGACGCAGGAGCTAACGGAGAGTCTGGCGACGCGATGGGCGGGTGGAGGTTGTGGGCGCGAGACGTGACAGCGGGAGGGTAGAGATGATGTGGCGCAACTTGGTGTGGCCTGCCTTTCGAAAGCATAGGTGGTGCCATCTCCGGCTTCACGCTTCATCTCGTGATTCTGCAGGCCAAAACGTTGGATGAAGGGAAGTCTGCCTTTGAAAGGGGGCGGATCTTCATGAGACTCTCGGCATACTGGTTGCCTTTGCTTCTCTGCCTGCGTAGTTTTAAGGAGGATGGTCGGCTGATGCAGGCTGAAAGGGAGGAGCTCGTCCTCACGTGGAGTGGGAGGATTGGAGGCGACATCGAGTCTGCAGTTTTTGAAGAAGGGTCAAGCGGTATCGGCGGCAGCTGTGGTCGAGTTTTTTTTCGTTTTGTTGATTGCATCTTGAGGATGAGCTTGCCTTTTCTTTGGATAGTCTCTCTCGCTGATCATATGCGTATTCATCAATCTGGATTACTTCGATTTTGGTCTGCGTAGCTGATGTTTACCAATGATGATGATCTAATTAGTTTTTTTTTAATTTGGTCTTCTCTATTTTGAATTGACTCGTTTGTTTTTCCAGGTTGTAATTCTGGATATTCTTTCTAAATGATGATGATCTGATTCAGTTTTCTCTTGGTGGTTCTTTCTGATAATATGGTTTCTTGAAAATGTTTTCTTAAACTATTTTCGTGCCATACATCTTTGTCAAACGTTTCTCAAACTGTGGTTTGGGAATCTGATTCGAAAATCCTTTATGGATATCTAAACCTAAATTTCGTATAATTTCTCATAAATTTTGTCACTCAGTAGTTTTTCTTATCACCGATCATATGGTCTTGATTTTTTTTCTCTTGGTTTCTGATACAAACTCATTCTTATTTTTGTAGTATTTTTTCAAAACTTTATGGTTGCTAATCATAACCCCGTGCGGTAATTTCTGATTCGGATAGTCTTGAGGGTTGTAATTGTGGCTTGCTGTGTATATCCGTGGGGTCTTCCTTGAGGGTTGGAGCCTCCTCCCGTGAGGGTTTCACAAGGTGGGAGGTGTTATTCTTGGAGGGGGGAGGCGGTATTGGGGGATTGTTGTCTCTTAGCCGGACTGATTTAGGGTCGGATCAGTACTGGCGGGTGGGGAGAGAAGGCAAGGGGGKGGCTGCTTATAGCAGTGTGTTTGGATTTTTTGTGGGAAGGAGTGTCTTCGATGGCTACACTGTGACTCGAAGGGGGGGGAAGTTAGATTTGAAGAAAGGAAGGTAGCAAGGGGATTCTCAGCAGAAAGGGTTGTTTGTTAGGGTAAGTAGGTTAGAAGGACGATGTTGGGACGACACAGGCCGGTGCTGGAGCCTTTGCTCTGTAATACAGTGGGAGCTTGAGGCCTGGGAAGTTATGCCGAGGGTGGAAGGCATAACCAGATCGTCCGACATAGTTGGCGCCGAGGTTTTGACCCTGTAACCTGTTTAGGGCCTCGCCGCTAAGGGAATTGTCGAGGGAGGAAGGCACTTCTTGTCCGTCAGAGCTAGGTTGATCGGTATTGGGGAGGGTTGTGGTGCCCTGTCACCCTAGCAGAAGGGGGTATGAGATCAAGTGAGTTATGGTACGAGGACTGAAGTCTGCACTGACGCCCCATCTGTGGGAAAGGGGAATCTAGGATAGTAGGCAGTTTTAGTCTTGCCCCCCTTGCCCTTATATTTTTCTAAAGTTTTTCGAATGTCCCAAAAAGAGGTGGGTGCTTAGTGGTTCTAGGGATGTTTTTTGGGACTTTGGGATCCCTATTAACTCATCTTAGCTGTCTTCAAAGTTGTTTTACTCAGTGATCTGCGGTTGTTCGATGCCAAAACGACGCTGACCGATGCTGGGGTGTTGCCCTGTAACCTGCGATGCAGGAGCTTGAGGTCTGGTAGAGAGATCTGGGGATGTCTTGGGGTGGACTTCCCACGGGACAACCAAGGGTTGCTGACGGGACGACGCTGGTCAAAGCTGGGGTGAGTCGCGCTGCCCTGTACCCCAGCAGAAAGTGGGGGTGTGAGACCTAGAAGAGATCAGCAGGGAGTACGAAAGTTTTGGAGAACGTTGGATGGGTTTGTGTGGGAGTTCGAGGTCTTTGGAATAATCGTAGGACCTCTGTGGCCAATTCTCATACTTCTGGAACGATGGTAAGAGTTCTTAGGTAATTCAAAAAGAAGAAAAGGTGAGTGGGAGAGGATGGTTGGTTACCACACGTTCTACCAGTGAGGGGGCTCGCTGGTCGGATGGGAGTATGGCATAGCAGCAGCAGAGATGGTGGTTCCGCTGCAGTCAGTCTTGCGGGAGTGAGGTATAGTGGATTGATGGGGGCTTTTCTGAGTCGTTTCKGAATTTCGCTTAATCATGAAGATTGTCCTAGACATGTCTGAAGTAGCTTCAATTTTTCGAAGCCAAAGCCGGGTAATGGCCCCGGTATCTCAATTTCCAAAATTCCATCCTTAGGCTAATTCCTCGTCTCATTTTCATGGATTTTCTATTGAAGTTTTCTGAGCATACTCGTTATGGGACGCTGAGCCCGGTTCCCAGTTTGTGCCAATTTGTGAGGATATGGTTGTATCTATGGGCGCTGGACCCGATTTCCAGCAGGTGCTACTCCCCACCAATAGATGGAGCTTTTTGTTAAAAAAAAAAAAAAAANAAAAAAAAAAAAAAAAAATCGTAAATTTTAAATATGTTATGCAGGAAAATGAACTGAACAACTTTTGCCCCAGGGTCACATCGAAATTCGTTACCAGATTTAAAACAAAACATAAAATTAAAAAATGATTTTTTTAATTTTTTTTCGCCCGGCCGAGGCAAGTGGTCCCGGGCCAATCTGGTAGCCTGGCCTGACCTGCACACCACTCCTTACTGCCGTTGTTCTCTGTCCGTAAACCATTTATACATTCTTGACATGGAGGGGAGCGTGGGAACACTAAGGACAGCTTCGCCTGACTGGTACTAGATACAGGGGCGCACGGATTATACAGATGTTCGTGATTGCTTCGCCATTGATGTTTTCTTTCTCATACGGATATTTGTTCCGACTGCTGCAACATACACGTTCTGATCAGTGCCAGCTGTCCAAGGCTTTCTTGTTTTCATTCTTTTAAGAGAAAATCAAAAATTTCTCGATACACCGCAATGACAAAAAATAGGGCGGTGTTGTATCTTTTTTCCACGTTCTAGCGGCAGATTCATTCTCATTTTGGACATTTTGTGAGTAGCGACGAAGTGAGTTCCCTAGATCCCTTGCAGATGTTGCCTACAATTGCGCAGTCACACTGACCTGAATTTTCATCACTCGTCAAGGACACCAGTACCCAATAGGAGGGATGAGCCGGTCAATTTGTTAAAAAGTGGTCCCCAAAGAATTCTGCCAAAAAAGATTAGTTAGGACTGGCGGGGAAATTTTTATCGCAATGAATGTGATAATTTGGGTAGAGGCTCCAAAAACTCACAAGGCTCCCTGAACCAAGAAGCACAGGCAACCAGCTCCTTGGGTACAGGTGTGGTTCTATAGGAAAAAAGACAACCGTCAACATAAAATGTTCAGCGGTCAGCACAGTGCAAACATGACAACAACACTGGAACCTGCTAGCGCATCGGAACAAGGGGGCATACATACGGATAGCGCAGAGAGAGGGAGGAGGAATTAGGAGGGGGGAGAACGCAGGCGGTGGCGGACATGTAATGTAGAATGAAGTCTTCGAAAAAATACCACTTGAACCGACATATGACTCTCACACCAACAAGAAGGATTAACTATGGTGGAGGGGAAGGAAGAGCCATGACAACAAATTCCATGATCTATGAATGAAGTGGTAATCACGATAATGAATGAAGTAGAAACAAACATCCGGCAATGTCAGAAAAAGGGTTGAATCACAGTCATGCTGATGCTGAGGAGGTGAAAACACAAAAACAACGCATACCAAATCTCTAACCACCCACTCCTGCACCCTTCTCTGCCACCCCTACATAGGCTCACCAGACTCCTGCTGCAATCCATACAGCAGCTCGCGTGGCAACGACAGTCTTCGCCGTCTCGAAATATAGCAACAAACCACCTGCTCCTCCACCCTCCTGTGTCACCCATACATAGGCTCGTGAGACTCCTGCCGCAATCCGTACAGCAGCAGCTCACATGGCAGCGACAGTCTTCGCCGTGTCGAACTATAGCAACAAACCACCTACTCCTTCACCCTTTCTCACCACCCGCACACAGGCTCGTCAGACTTCCTTGGCAATCCGTACAGCAGCTCCCATGTCAACAACAGTCTTCGCCGTGCAGAACTACAGCAACAAACAGATAGACAGTCAAGCGGCAGATGGATTGGAGGCTGGGGAGGGGAAAGGGGAACAGGGAAATCGGACTTTTATCTTTTGCCCGGTCAAGGAACAAGCCTAGCGCAATTCACTCGGCACTCTGTGCGCAGCCGAATGCGCACAAACATCCGTCTATCGCACATACAACAACCCTGCCTGTCATGAGGACACAGCCATGGCTTCCGCTGCTACAGTCAGCACGCAGACTACCAAGTACGTCAAGCACAAGCACAAGACCTTGTCCATGCCATACTACGAATCATGCCCGTCTATCGCCCATATGCCAAGCACAGGATCTTTTGCAGACTACCGAGATTGAACAAATGCCCGTCTATCGCCCATACACAAGTGTGCAAAGCACAAGATCTTGGAGGATTACCGAAACTCGTCAATGCTGAAAACGGCTCAAAAGAGGTGCAACCAGCAGGTACCAATAACAAGACCGTGTGTTCATCCGCATCCACTCATCGCCGTCTTTTCTCTGCATGCAAGCCAGTTGCGTCCCTCACTGCCATTTCGTTGCAATTATCACTCCGTGAGGACGCCCACCCGTCGCGGTGCAACCTATGCATATATCTATTTAGGGGGTGTGGTCTGTCGCAGTCCTATCTCCCTGATGATGCTCGACGTCAAAAGTTCAAATTCAGTACAAGAATCCAGCAACCTACTCGCAGGTGATATTTCCATTCGTCACACGCTTCTTTTCGGTTTCTTTCACTCTTTTCTCTCTTTTTTTCTTTCTTCTGTTCATCAGACCTTGTTTTCTGTCTCCGATGAATATGGTAGGAATGACCTCTCTACTGGCGTCCGAACCACATGCCCACCCGCATCCACAATGGCTGACATGGCTGCAAATGCAGCCGATGCCCCCAGCCCGTACGGCAGGCTCCCAGCTGCATTTACATCACCAAAGTCAGATCAACCACCAGCCACATGCACACACACACACACACACACACACACACACACAAAATTAATAGGATAAGATTCCTCTCTTGCAATGATTTCATACGCCTGTGAACGACTTGAGCATCCCTTATAGAAACGCCAATGTCCGTCATCATCTCCCATACAAACAGCATATGGACTTACAGAGCAGAGTCCTGGACAACACAAATACTCCAGGGGGGGCGGGGGGTAGGAAGGGGGGGCGGGGGGGTCGTCCAGGGATCGGGCGCTTCAATGATATCGCAGAGTCCCTGGGAATAATTATATTAAGGCTCGGTAGGAGGGGAAAAAAAAAAAAAAAAAAAAAAAAAAAAAAAAAAAAAAAAAGGGGAAGAGTTTAATTTTTTAAAAAAAAAAAAAAAAAAAAAAAAAAAAAAAAAAGAAGAGGTGGGCCCCCCCCCACCATTTTTTTTAAAAAAAAAAAAAAAAAAAAAAAAAAAAAAAAAAAAAAAAAAGGGATATCGGGTCCACTTTGTCTTTTCTTGCCCATTTTAAACTGAAAAGGTGACTCAGGACCAGTTTCCCCTTTTTTTTTTGGAAAGCTGCCTTCTCCTCATCGAGGGGCAGCCAGATATTTTTCTCACACCTCACATATTTTTTAACTGGGGTTCTGCCATGTCATGGAACATATCTTTCTTTCACTACCTACCTACCACTACTCTTAAGGCTATACAGGGGACCCCTGCAAGCATAGCTTTCTACCTCTGTTCGGTGAAGGGAGGTTACCTCTCTCATATCTTCCTTTCACTACCTACCTACCACTACTCCTAAGGCTATGCAGGGGACCCCTGCAAGCCTAGCTTCTTCTTCTTCTTTTTTTTTCTTTTTTTTTTTTAAGCCCAGGGTGTTGTAGAGGCCAAGGACCAGACCCGTGGTGATTGCTAGTAGCGGCAGCCATCTCTTAGTGGAGAGAGGTCGTAATGGCATGTTTGTCCCTTTGCCCTAGAGTTTAGGGTGCAGGGTTAGGGTCGCCAGTGGGGGCCTCGCTAACACAAGGACCGAGCAATTGCCAGTAACTGCGCCTCCCTTTTCATCTTCCCCCACCCCCATCGAGTAACAGTAGTGTCTAGACTCTCAAGCCAACACTCTCCCACACACCACACACAACCCACTCACATGCGCACTCACACCAGTGTTTGCTGAAGACCTTACTAACACCGACTGGGAGAATCCAGCTGACTGTTTGTGTCATTCTTTTCCTTTTTTTTCTTTTTTTTTTTTAACCACCAGTACTGGGCCCAGCTATCGATGCCGAGCCTGGAATGCCCCTGCGCGCCAATTTTCGCCGAAGCGCCGACGTACCGTTTCAATTTTTTTTTGGCTGGCGCTTCCAGCCATTGTGGTCCGGTACCTTGAAGCCCTAAAGGCGCAGCGCGTTAACGGGAAAGCGCCGCGGCCGATAGCTGGGCCAAGTACCGGTGGTTTAACATACGTCGGGTACGCCAGTGGTGGTGGTAGGAGCTTATACCCCTAGCAGGCCGGAGGATGGCTGCGATCTATTGGTGGGGACTCTGCGAGCCACACCTGCTGGAAAACGGGTCCAGCCTCCCTATTGCAATACGTAAGTTTAATCCTCCCTCCTCCTATCTGTAAAGTTTAACATCTTCTTTTTCCCTCTCTGTCACTTTCTATCCTACATGGTGATTCGCAGGTGGTGCATAGCTCGTCCTATTACATGGATGTAATCATGGGCGTGGTCTCTGACCAATGATCTTGCCAATCTATTCGGAAAAAAAAAAAAAAAAAAAAAGATCTTGCCAATCTACGGCTGGAAACGAAGGATTCAGGTGACTGTGACCTTGCCCCAGGACACAAAAGGACAATATAGCGTGTGACGGTCTCGATGAGCACGTTTGAAGTCTTTGAAATCCATCACCCACAGTGACTGAGGTTGACGTGTTGCCATGATAGCCGACGTCTCACGAATGGAACACAGAAACATCATGAATGCGTTGACTTGAGCTCGGAGTGCTCTCTCCAAGCGAGAGCAAGTGATTGCTAAGAGTTGATGGGACCGGCCTCGCCGTTGTGCAGCACGGCCTCAGCTGTTATCGGGCCCTCTACGGCGGCCTGGGTTCTCGCCCGTTTTTGGCGTCGAACGCCCAAGGAACGGGTTTCATCGGGACCCGTGACTAATTTTTTTCGTGGGCTAAAAAATATAGGGTTGTATATCGTTTTGCAATCTACAACCCCATATTTTTTTGTTTAATTTTTTGAGCTTTCGCTGTATTTGTAAAAAAAAAAACACAATGAAAAAAACAAAATATGAAATGAGTGTTTTTCTCTTTTGGTTTCACATACATTTTTTAAGGCAAAAGAAAACAAATAAAAAATGTAGGGTTGTAGATCTTTCAAAGAAGTACAACATTTTTTATTTTTTTTCAACTGTATGTATTTTTTTTCAATCAAAAACATTAAAAAAAAATAAGAAAAGGAAAAGAAGGCAAAAAAGACACGCTCACGCACACACAGACACATAACACATAACACATAACACATAACACACACAAACACACATAAACAAAGACGCCAACAATCACGCACGCAGACACACACACACACAATTACAAACACACACATACACAAACTGTGACAAACACATTCGCATACATACATATTCATGCACATACACACTCTCACACACAGACACACACATACACGCAGACACAGTATACCTGCACACACATATTTGGGGGCCTTAGGGGTTGGGGATGTCAGGATGGATGGTTTAGAGGGCTTCCGGGTAGGTTTTGGGACTGGTGTCGGTGGGTAAGTTAGCGGTGGGTGTCAGGCCGGTCGGTGTTGGTCTCATTAGGTGGAATAAGGGGTGCTTCAGGGTTTGGGGGAATGTTTTGTTTTTCTGGGGGGGGAGGGGGTCGAGTGTGCAGGTGCCTAAGGCCACGTGTACCAAACCCTGCACATTAGAGCGGCCCGTTTTCATGTTTAACGAGAAATTGATGGGATTTTCTCAGTTTCAACGAGATTCAACATGAGTTTAATTCCCCCGTTCCCTGTTAAAAAGACACAAAAAAAGTATTAAAAAACCTATCAAATTGATACTTTGCCACTCATGCCTCATTCCTTTGCTTGATATGATAGAACGAGCGTGATCTTTATGTGTGAAGACTTCTAAGTATCTCGATGTGCGCCTTTTAACTAAGTCAATATGAACATTATTGATTGACCGGACAGTCGTATGTTTTTCATCTTGTTATTTTGTATTGCTTACTTCCTGAAACGAAATAATATATGTCATCCAAATCCCGAAAAGGTTCAAAAATTAAATCACGAAGTTCTTTTAGATACATAGAAGAGTTTAGTAAACAATGTGTTTAAATATAGGAGCAAGGTTCAAAAGCGTTTGATAGTGTCTCAATACAAAATGTATTATCTCCTACAACTAAATTTAGTAAACATTGGTTATGCATTATGCTCAACAAAACATTACGCATAGTGATATGTACCATTGGGCGAAGATTGTAGATCATATCTTGGTCATGCATCAGGCTACGCCACACACATTGATAATGCAAACATAGTTCACACTACAAATCAAGAACGTGCTTCCTATAAAGACTTTTAAGTTATTAGGCTCATAACGACTTTTATTTCAAGGTATTTAAGAGAGACCCAAACCTTGGTAAAATACAAGGTTCAATTATATATGGAATTCATGGAACAGACCTTTGTTAAGCTAGAATAAAAAAGGACGACAAATAACACAGTACACTTATAGAAGTCAGGTTTGTGGCTACGAGGATGAAAATATGAGTATTGGACTCATTATCCAAAATAAATTATGAGACTCCGAGTCAACACAAGTAAGAAAATATGTGTGCAGTGGGAATTAGTTTGGAAAGAGATTGTACTTAATTTTCATACAGTTGTTATAACATTTTTGTTATTTTTGTTGCACATCGCAGTCACTCCTTTGCTGATAGGTTTTTCTACAAATTTATTCTTTCATTAACTCAGACTGTGGGTAGTTGGGCACAAGTAACTGTCGGTGGCCCTAGGCCAATTCGTTTGGTCTGAGGCTCAGCCTCCCTGGGCCCACCGGAAGGTTCTGGGTCGAGGCCCAGCACAGCCAGGCTGCACGCACGCAGGCTGGTCATTTCCATATAGGAAAAGGGCCAGCCCACGCTTTGGACATTCGGGTGCTGGCTGCATGCTGCGCAAGCGCTGCTGCACTGAAGCTGGCTAGCGCTCACGCGCTCACGGGCGAGCTGGAAGGAGCAGGCAGCCGTAGCCGAGCTGCGCTGCTGGGAGCTGGGTGAGGCGCATGGTGGTCCTTGGGTGCAAGTGGCATCTGCGAGTTGGGGAACGGGGTTGTGAGTGATACGAGAGACATACCTGGTGCTAGAGGCGACGGCATTGTCCGAGATCTGCTCGTACTTTGGTGAAGCTGTTGACGTCATCCGGCGGCATTGTAGAGTAGGCTAGATAGGATCTGCCATCTGTAGTCTGGGGGCCGAGAGCCAGATAGGATATCAACATCGGTTCTTCATTGATGATGATGATGAGACTTTACCAGCGTTGTCAATTATGAGCTCTTGGTGTGTTCTTATTTGGTGAAACACGTGATGCAATTCTGCTGTTGGTTCGAGGTCATGACTATCTGGTCTTGTGTGTATGATGCTGTTTGATTTCTGAAATTCGCTATCGCTCATCTTCCTTGCACTGTTCATTTCACATTCGGTGAGCCTGGAGCGGAGGTTAGCCGCCCCAGTTCTAAACTATCATGGCCCTCACCTCACTACTCAGCAAGTGTGCAAAATGGAGCATGCATTTTTCCCTAGAATGTGGAGGTATACACCCGCCATGCGTTTTGGTCTTCTTAGCATTCAGTGCGTGGTGCGGCACAAACGGCCGTACGTTAGATAAATGTGTACATTGTGTAGCGTCCTGGGCTCAGATGCCCCGCAAAGGCGAGGACATGATGGGC